ACCATTAAGCAAACAGCAGTTTTGTTCAGCTAAGGAAATGTGTGCAACAGGCACCCTGCCCCAGCTCAGGGCTGAATACAGATGTGAATCTAATATTGGTGTGTTTCTACTTTGTTGTGGTTGTTTTGATGGCTGATGCTTTCATTACATCATATGGATCTTGCCAGAATGCTTGCTTTTAATATTGCTAGTGTCACTTTAATGCCGACATGTGCCTGACTCTAATTTCAATGGCAGGAGGGTACAAGCAAAGCAGAAGGCAAGAAGATTAACAGTCTCAGGGGATGGCAGAGTTTTGCCGAGGGCTGGCTAAGGGAGTAAGCTCACCATTCTAGAATGCATACCGCCTCCATTCTTCACTGGCTGTTTCCTGGTTTTGAGCCTCATTTTGCAATAATATCTGGAAAAATGTTTAAAAATGGAAAAAGAGCCAAATGTAAACACAGAAATGTGGTTTGTCCCTGTTAAAGAGATCATTTTGATCATTTTCTCCTGCCGTGCTCTATAAAGTACTTTGCTGTCTGTTTCCCTTGGCAGTGGTGGAGTGGTACTGTTTGCTTGCTGATCCTTGTGAATGGGTGGGGAGCAGCTATGCCCTATTTTCTTTTTTTAGGTGGTCTGAGTGTTCCTAAGTGCCCATATATGTCAGGAAATCAGAGATTGCCTTAAACTTAATGAGTAAAACTTTAGGAGAGATGAAGAAGTGTATATTTTAACTATTTTCATCTGAGTATCCTACGAGACTGTGAAATAGTATTCCTGATTTTCAAGGCATTTGGTAGCAAATATAGTACTCAGTTATGAAAAAGTAAGCCATTGTGTTTAAGTTCCAAGTTTCAGTTCTGAGACCAGGAAGCTAAGTTCTTGGTATCTTGTTGGAATGGTAGTGCTACTGGATAGGTCCCCTAACAAAGTCACCTTTGCCATGAACTTGAAAAGCAACCTTCTTCATGTTCTCTGGAGAAAGGAGCTACCTATGGCAGGCACCACACTAGAGTACTTTTGTTGAAACTTTATGTGTATGTGCAGCTTCATGTGCATGTAGATGTGTGTGCAGTATGTGTATATGCATGTGGAGGCTAGAGGTCAATCTTGGGTGCCATTATTCAGATGTCATCCACCTTGGTTTTTGAGACAAAGTGTTCATGTTTGGCTTGGAACTCACTGATTAGGCTAGGCTGGCCAGATAGCCCCAGGGAGCCACCCGTCTCTGCTTCCTCGGCACTGAAATTACAAGTGTGTGCCACCACAACCTGCTTTTAAACATGGATTTCAGGAATTAAACTCGGATCCTCATGGCTGTTGGGCAAGCACTTTACCAACCGAGCCATCTCTCGGCACCCCTTTGTTGAGTTTTTATGAAGTAGGTTTTAAACCCTTCTTTCCACACATCACACAGCTAGTAAATTCTAGTCAGGACTCGAAGACTTAAGCCCTCATTCTTACCATTATCATCAGTGATGCCAGACCATTGCTGTACAGATAGGCATTGGTTCCACAAGGGTTTGTCTAGTTTGTAGTAAGAATACCCTGGTGTTCTACTTTGCTTCTCTGTTGCCATGACAAACACTCTGACCAAGGGGTTGGAGAGCTGGCTCATTGGTTAAGAGCACTGGCTGCTCTTGCAGAGGACCTGGGTTCGATTCCCATATGGTGGCTAACAACTGTCTGTAACTCCAGTTCCTGGGGAATTTGATGCCCTCTTCTGACCTCTGCTGGCATTGTACTATGTGGGTGCACTTACATACATGCAGGCAATACAATTATACACGTAAAATAAAAATAATAGATAAAATATTTTTAAAGCCACTCTGACCCAAACCAACTTGCGGAGGAAAGGGTTTATTTGGCTTACATCTCCTGGGTCACAGTTTATCACTGAAAGAGCCCAAGGTAGGAACTCAGGGCAGGAACATGGAGGCAGGAGCTGAAGCACAGGCCATGGAAGAATGCTGCTTATCTGCTTGCTTCCCTGGCCTGTGCTCAGCCTACATTCTTATATAATCCAGGAACACCTGCCCAGGGATGGAACCACCCACAGTGGGCTGGGCCCTCCCACATCACTCAACAATCAAGAAAATGCCCCACAGACATGGCCACAGGCCAGTCCAATGGAGGAAATTCTTCAGTTGTGGTTCCCTCTACCCAGGTGTGTCAAGTGGACAACTGAAGCTGTCTGGCACACTGGGACACTGGGTAAGGGAAGCATCCTTGTTTCTTGGAAGGCACTGCCCGTGTCATGTCCTCAGATAGTGGCATGTCTTTGTCTTTCTAGGTATTAAATGCTTTTCGGATTTTTTTTCATTGGTGTTGTTTCGTTTTGTTTTGTTTCCTTTATCAAATGATGGTAATTGTGTACAGAAGCTACAAACTATCTTAAATTTATCAATGTGAAAAACTGGCTTTTATGTCAATGTCCAAGCTTCATAGTGAGAGTCTTATTGGCCTGGGAAAAGATAAAGTACGGAGTGGGGAGAGGAGCAGGGTCCGAGGGCTGTATTGGGCAGAGTCTCCAAACAGCTTAGGTTCATCTGGGGTGGGGGTGGACTATCTGGAAAGTGGTTGAGCTGCATCACAGATGATACTGATCAAAATGCTCCTTATGAGCATACATATATATAGCTAAAAGTTACTTGACCAACAGCAAAGCCAGACAGGCGATACCTTCAGTCGAGTTGTTGGCCAGGATGGATAAAGGCTCTTCCAGATAGTAACCTAACACACTACTGGAAAAATGAACAGCAGACCCCAATTCTATCCAAAGGAATACTGACAACGGATTGCCGTAGATGAGGAACAGCTGACCCTCCTGGAACAGGGACCTCTGGCTGACTAGATATACCAGAAGGGCAGATAGGGGGGAATGGATGGGGGTGCTGACAGTACAGTGGACAGTGGCAGGGATGGCAGAGTATGGAGGCTCTAGTGGGAGAGGAAGGCTGTCTA